TTCAAAGATTTTGATCTGCTTTTCGTTCGGACCGACTGCCAGCTCATACTTCACGCCTGCAAAGTAATATCGTACATATTCATTGAGATTTTTAATTCTGCTTGTGTAAATTCTGAGGACATTCCCATCATCCTACAGCTATTGAAGCTGTTCACGGAAAAACTGTAAAAGTACTTACTTGTATACAGTGGATCGAAAGACAAATATACAGGAATAAGGAAACTCCCGCCACAGACAGAAATATTTTTTTGAAGAATGCTTTTGTAAGTCCTTAAAAACACAAAAATTATACTTAAAAAGACATACAATAATATACAGAAACAGCAATATAGGTCTGAAAAAAGTAAATGCAATGAATGATTTCGGTCTGTTCCTCAAACAAATCTATCATTTGACTTAAAAAGACTTGAAATACAGTGCACAAGTCATATTGACAAATTGAATAATACTTATTCTTGTCTTTTTCCAAGCTTGACGAACTTAAATTAAGTAATACTTATTCTTGTCTTTTTCCAAGCTTGACGAACTTAGTCACTTTTATTATACACTATGACAGAAGAAGAACTTCACAATATACCGCACTATTAATAACTTACTGTTGTTACTCTTGATCTCGTCCTCTCTCAGAATCTTCCGGATGGTCCCTGTCTCGTGCTCCACCACACAAACATACTGGTGCTTCTTCCAGTCGTCTTGAGGAACATTGAGGATAGATGTCTTCTGGAAGGTCCCATCCTCATTTGGCAGTAGCTCTCCAAGATCCATGTCCTCATCATGATCTTCTCCATTTTTTAACCAGGTGATAGTCACTGCTGATGGGTAGAAACCTGTGGCATGACACTCCACTGGAGAGGAGGAACTCCACTGTAACAGAGACACTACAGCAGCTACAACAAATTGAGAAAAAAGTGATGAAAATACTTAATACTTCCAATTTATGCAATAGATCAACTTAAACATTAACACAGCTACATTTTGTTTGAACCCTTCAGTGCTCCTCAAATGA